ATTCATCAAATGGAAAAGATGTTTTCATAGTTTAAAATATGTTTTACGCCTAATATCTGTATTTCTTAGAGATTAAGCAGTCTATCATTAGCTATAGATGTATTGTAAATATATAAACAAGCTAGAAGAATCTTTCAAGAACCTTATAATCGAAATTGGCGATAAGTTCATAATTCTATAATATAATAATACTTATATAACAAGTGAACAATATGGTTGAATCATTCAGTTACCTGACTAGTAGAAAATGTCGGTATATTTACAAATTAAGAAGTTTACTGAATTTAAGTATAAACTTGCAGATACTGAGTTTTTAAAAATATAAAACTCGAAATTTTGGAGACCTGTGGGCATTACCAAAAGTTGTTTTAAAATTAATATACCTCTAGAGAACATACGTGAAATAAATTTCTTCACTTCCATATATACAATCTCATTTTCAAACTTTTAAAGTTAGATACAGATTTACAACAGTGATAAAACACCTCCTTTGCCAGACGTTGACGAGTTTTAATTGTTTAGTGTTTTTTTTTGGTGTTGCCGTTTTGTTTATACATACACATATTCTTATACAATAAGATACTGATTCAAGACAGGTTAAAAGTTGACAGCCTTGACTACAGGAAAATATAAGAACATTTAATTCATTGTGGTTCCCAAACTGTGGTTGCTAGGTCCATTTTTCTGTTATTAAAAACTATTTGAAGCATGTTAAAGACGACTTAATATTTTATCGATACATTATCCAGATGCTTATTAAATATCTGTACCATTTTATATTTCCACCTGCATGAATGGCAAGAATTCATTAAAATTCGTCTCAATATATAGTAGGCACTGTGCTACATTACAGTCATCTCACTTAAGTCTTCGTTAATCACACTATCAGACAGACATTATTGTTTCCAATTTCTTGTAGGAAAGTGCAGACTTGCCCAAAGCCCCACAACCTATAAAAGTTGAATAGCAATGCCAGTCAGATTTGTCTGTCTCCAGAGTTCATCTTCTTAACCACTGTACCATACTACTTGATTTTGGTTAATGAAATAGTTTAAAAAACAAAACAAAAACAACTTGTATTTGTTCACATTTTTATTATTATTATTATTATTTTTTTTTTGAGATGGAGCTTCGCTCTTGTCACCCAGACTGGAGTGCAATGGCGCGATCTCGGCTCACCGCAACCTCCGCCTCCCCGCAACCTCCGCCTCCTGGGTTCAGGCAATTCTCCTGCCTCAGCCTCCCCAGCAGCTGGGATTACAGGCACGCGCCACCATGCCCAGCTAATTGTTTTTGTATTTTTAGTAGAGACGGGGTTTCACCATGTTGACCAGGATGGTCTCGATCTCTTGACCTCGTGATCCACCCGCCTCGGCCTCCCAAAGTGCTGGGATTACAGGCTTGAGCCACCGCGCCCAGCCCACATTTTTATTACATATGTTTTTCTTCCTTCGTGAACTTCTTTCTGGAATTGTCTTTTATTTATTTTTAAATTTGAATAGTAATACTTTTCTTATTGTTTTATTTGTATCCATTCATATTATCTATGCAATTGTAACTATTTTCCCCAAGTTTTATCTTTTCTTCATTTTTATATAAGGAATTTCTGAATAGCAAAACCTACAGACTTTTTTTCAGAGAAGAATTTTAAAATATCTCTGAGCCAATTTTTTCATATGTTTGAGGAGAGTTAGGGACATACATTCAGCTAATTGCTAATCTCTGAGTATAGCTTGAGAGGGAGTAGGTAAGATATATACTATACTCACATTATAATATCAAATTTTTTTGGCACTTCTGCAATTATTTGTTTTATAATAATCAGTATTCTTGAATTAAATTTTTTGCCATTTCGTGAGATTTACTTAGAATTAAGATATGTGGCTGTCTTCCTCAGTAAAACAAGATGTAGAAGAAAGAATATATACATACATGAACTATGTCTAAATGTTGTGAAATATGCAGAGATACGGTACTTATTATGCCTGACTTTTTTTTTCCTAGTATTTTTTTTTAACCAGGAAAATATATAAATACGACCAGAATAACAACCCGCCCAAACAATCTTGACCCGCAAACAGGTGGCCGAGGGTTGAATGTCATGGTTGCTTTGCTGCTGGTCCTGTTATGAACTCAGATTTTATTTTTTTCTATAATAAGCGAAAGTGACAAGGCAATGTCATACAAGTATGAGTAAATGTTTGGCAAAATGAATTCCAAGGATAAAATTTAAACATTTTTCAGGAGCCTGAGGTAATTTCTTACTTGTTTTGTTATGCCTTTCCAATTTGTCTAAAATTGAAATATTTACAATCTAGGGTTCCTTCTGTCTCAGAAGATAGGATATGTACGACCTTACAAATTTATAGAAAACTTCTCTATGTTAATGTGAAGAAAAAACAAGATGAAATAACCAGTCTATTTCCAAACAACAGCAAATGTTCTTATGCTCTATACTCCTGCTTTTGTTTAGGAAAAAGGTAGCATGACTCATTATGAAAAATAGTCCCTCCCACACCTGTTTCCCCCACCCCTCTCACAATTCTCTAAGTGCATATGTGTGCGCACGTGTACACAAACGCAGGCACACATGCATGCATGTCTGCACGCACGCACACGCTGAGAATTCAGCCCAAGAAATACAGGAGACACAACTTTAGAGAGATGGGTTTATTAAAACAATGTAGATAAACATTTTCTGCAAAATTCAGTAAAATGTAGGAAAGACAAATTCAAATGGGAGCCGTGAAGCATGTTTTAATGTTCTTTGTTCTTTATAATTATTTGATTAAAAGGAAAACAGTGATAATAGAATGCATGGGGGTGTACGCTGATGGAAGATAAGGAATTGGTTTGTAACGTGAAACTTTGCCTCCACACTATATGACTTTAAGTGCACCAAGTTCTTTATATGGAAAACTGGTTTTCAGCAGAATACCTGGCAAAATATAAAGATGATCTCACATTGCCAAATGGGCCTTCAGCTGCTTTCCTAATTGACTTTTCCATGGTTTGTTACTTAGTGTTACACACACTAATGTGTCATCCTAGGACAATCTGATTTTCAAGTCTCACCCTGCCTGTGTTCGTAGGTTTCAATCTTACAATTCCTCTATTACCCTCCAACGTTTTGGAAATGGACTACTTCTGTTGTTAGAAGCATGATACAGAAAATATGGTGCTCATAACTATGCCTGAAACCTAAGTTTCCTGGTTGATACCAGTAAAACCAAGAAAGCCTAAATCCAGTGTGTTTCTCAACAATTATTCAGTACAGGGAGAACCAACTAGTTGTTTCCTAGGCAACCACTTAGTGAAAAATGTGCAGTTATATTTCATTTCATCTCATTTTCTGTTTTTCTAGAACTGGCTAATTTCCCCCCTTTTTTTCAGTATCCATTTCTCCTCACATTTCTCTTTATACATTTTCTTTAGTATTTCTCTTCCTCTTGCCTTTCTCTCCTGTTCTTTCCTTCTATTAATTATCTAACTCTCTTTCCCTTAGGAATGAGATCACAACAAATACTTGTCTTTAAAGTTGCCCTGTCAACTACCATCTGGTTACGGTTTTGTTCCTTTGCAGAAAATCAACATTTGCAGAAATTCAACATTCCACATTGGTGAATGTGGAAATTCTGTTCACTGCTGCTTCCAGGGCATGGTTGTGTCCCAGCTTATTAAGATGCAGAAGTCTCAGAAGTCTCAGTGCTTCAGAATCTAATTCACACATCTGCCTAATTTCTCGGAGGGCTGAGGGAATTTGAAATTTTGTTTTTTTTTTTGTTTTTTTTTTTTTTTTTTGAGACGGAGTTTCGCTCTTATTACCCAGGCTGGAGTGCAATGGCGCGATCTCGGCTCACCGCAACCTCCGCCTCCCAGGTTCAGGCAATTCTCCTGCCTCAGCCTCCTGAGTAGCCAGGACTACAGGCACGCGCCACCATGCCCAGCTGATGTTTTTGTATTTTTAGTAGAGACGGGGGTTTCACCATGTTGACCAGGATGGTCTCGATCTCTTGACCTCGTGATCCACCCGCCTCGGCCTCCCAAAGTGCTGGGATTATAGGCGTGAGCCACCGTGCCCGGCGAAATGCTGTTTCTTAACACCGAAAACAAATAAAGAGAAAGGACCAGAGAAATTTTCATCTGGGGAGGGATCGCTTTTGTCAGTAGATGGCCAGCAGGGTAAGTCAGATATGCAAGAAACACATCAAATGTTCTGGGAGGGGAGTATTTGAACGCTGAGCAGTCGTCTGCGTGGATGGAGGCTTCGTACAGTTTCCAGGTCTTGTTCTCTGATGTGGAGACCTTTTTGACGGAGTAGGCTAGTTTTTGTTTGTTGCCACTCAGTCCCGTTTATTGGCTAACAATAAAATAGAAAATAATTTCTTTTATATAACTTAAGAAAAATACTAAGGTTTGGTAGCATTCGCCCCATTTGTTTACTACTCAAAAAAAAAAAAAAAAAAAAAGTCTTCCCTCTTCCCTGTTGCCTGCAGGAGTGGCCTTAGACTGCCATTCCTGGGTCTCTAGAATCTGCTCTGAGCCTCATTTTCAATCCTGTTTTTCTTATCTCTCACCACTTCTCTCCGTGCCTCAGTTCCAACCACCCCAGACTGCTTCTCCTGAAATACCTGCGTGCACTTCTGCCTTCTCTCAGCATCTCCTCATGTGAAGTACTCTCCCTTTTCCTGCCGGTCTCTCTGTCTTTAAAACGCAAAGTCATCTTCCCTCTGTGACCACACCCGGAAGTGGCCCTCACTCAGGCCCCCACTTGGCATGGCTCACTCTCATCATGTGTTTCCACGTACCATGTCCCCGGTCATCGTTGTACATACCTGTACTCAGGCAGCAGAAAGACAGCCACTGGTGGGTTCCCTTCCTCTCCTTTCTCTCTGGCCATTACTGCTAGAAAAACTCAAATATGGAAGCTCCGGAAGCATCTAAGAATAGAGATTTGGTGTGAGAAGAAAAAGGAAGATTATTATTATTATTATTTTTAATAAATCATCACGGTTTATTTAACAAGGTTATTCTACATTAGGTTTATATATATGTGTGTGTGTGTGTGTGTGTGTGTGTTTGTGTGATATGAAGAGACTGATGTGCAATCAGTAAGTCTTAAATCTCTATTCCATGGATTTCCCCCATCTTCCCACTTGGCAGTAAAAGGCATTTTTAGGTTTATATAAACACATTCTTTACAACTGCCTTCTTAACAGAAAATTACTGTAGCATATAAATAGCACTGGGCATTTAGTAAGTAAGTTACAGGCCAATAAGTTCAATTGTGCAGTTTTGAAATCTAATGTCAGAGTTTTTGAAACCTTAAGACTGGGTGATCTGTAATGTTTCCAACATGTCTTCGACTGCCTTAAGAGAATATTTGGTTTCCTTCTTACTTCTACCTGCAAACTGATAAGCTCTGTTTATTTGACTAGCTGCCCAACTAGCGTATTTCATGTTGTCCTTTTTCGTTTTTGCACTTGCTTTTGGATTAGAAGCAATATGACTTGCCGACATATAAAGCCCAAACAAAGCTCTCATATTTCTGTTGTTCAGTTTCAATGCCTGTGCAAAATACTTTCTTGAAAGTTCGAGGTTTTCAAGTCCACCTTGGGTATATTTAACTTCAGCATACTGCTGACAGTATAAGTGGTTGTGTGGATTAGTCATCATTAGTTCCTCTAAACAAAAGCCTTTTTTTGCATAGTCATGTTCATTGATATAAAGTTCTGCAAGTTCATGCCAGGCTTCTTGGTCTCCAACAAATTGTTCCAGATACTCATTCAGTTCCCGGATGGCCTCCACATTTTTCCCCTGGGCTTTTCGAATGGCAATCTTACGCTTTCTTGCAGCAGTGTTAGTTGGATCTTCTTGTAAAATCCTATCATATAGCTGTATAGCATCATCATATCTTTCCATGGCTTCAAATCTCATGCCTGTTAATCGCTTGACTCTGTGACTGCCAGGGAACTGTCTTCTTAGCTCTTGAAGACAAAACAATGCCAAGTCATCCCGACCATAGTCTAGTGCAGCAATCATCACCTGTTCATATATGATCTAAATATCATCTCCAAGCTTAGAAGCATATTCATTAATTAATTCTTCTCCAACTTCCACAATTTGCTCACTATTTCGTGAGTTTTCTTCTCTCCATTTTCTCATTTTATCTCGCATTTCTTCCCAAGTGACATCGTAAAGCTCTGAGACCTTCGCCATCTTCCCAGAACCTCGGAAGATTATTTCAAGGGGCAAAAATCTTAAGAAAGGGAGTACACCTCTTGATTCCCAGCCAGTCAGATGGGATTGCTCGCTGCTCAGGATAACATGGTTTAGGACGCATGTAACCTAGTCAGACATGTGGCAGTGCGGAGCTGCCTATTTCCATACCTTGGAGAAACAGTGAGGCTCCCCTCACTGTTTGAGGACGGCTTCAGGAAGGCATTCAATAGAAACGTATCAAGGTAATTGAGTAAATGAACATAGCATTACTTTCTGTAGGGATTCTTATCATTTCTTCAATTAATACGAAGAAATGAAGTAACTCAGTTGTTGAATGTGCCGTTGTAAATACTGTATGCATAATATAGTCTGTTTTCTTTCAGCTTGAAAACTAAGTAAACACAGAAAAATAGAAAACAAATTTGAAAAGGGAATATTAATTTGGTTGCAAGTTAAAATACATATATTATTGCTGATTTTTATTGTCTCAAAATATCTCGTAAAATGAGTCCAAAATTCAGAGACTGAGAATTAGCTAGAATTTAGGGGACTTTTCAATAATCTCATATTACACGTAAGAAAACTGAAGTTCCAAGAAATCAAAGAACATTTGTATTCAAAAGAACTGTGAATGGAAGAGAACCACTCTTTCTTTTTCTTTTGGATTTTCTGTCACTCTTGATGACACAATCATCCAGCCACTAGACCTCATTTTATGTTAATAGGTAAAGTAACTTATAAGGTATCCTTGGGTCTACGTATCCCTCTCCTGGCCAACCACCTAAACTTTCATTGCTGTAGGGAAGCAGATGTTCTCATCAGAAGAGTGAGACCATTCATTTTGTTAATTACCAGTAAAGGACAAGCACCTGGGGAGGAGACCCAAGGCCCTCTTGGCTGTGGTGTTAAAAGGGAAGACTTAGGAAGATGGCGCCACCCATGGAGGGCAGGCTGGTGCTGGGAAGCAGGAGGTGTCTGTGAAGTTGCCTCAGAACCTTGTTGCTAATGCAGTACCTCTCAAGGTGTAGAGCTCAGTGCAGAGGAAGTGTGTCGTGTTCTTCCTCTATATGTAGTGTCTTTTTTTTTTTTTTTTTCTCGAGACGGAGTTTCCCTCTTGTTACCCAGGCTGGAGTGCAATGGCGCTGTCTCAACTCACCGCAACCTCTGCCTCCTGGGTTCAGGCAAGTCTCCTGCCTCAGCCTCCTGAGTAGCTGGGATTACAGGCATGTACCACCAAGCCCAGCTAATTTTTGTATTTTTGGTAGAGAAGGGGTTTCACCATGTTGACCAGGATGGTCTCAATCTCTTGACCTCGTGATCCACCCGCCTCAGCCTCCCAAAGTGCTGGGATTACAGGCATGAACCAAGTAGTGTCTTTTTTTTTTTTTTTTAAATCTGAACTATGACAGCAGGCACCAGGAACCAAAGGTTAACCCTATGCTTAGACCAAAGCCTTAGAGGCTGTGCAGCGAGGATCTACCCATGTGGGAGGAGCCCAAGGGAAAGGAGAAGGTGGTGGGGGGATCAGAGCTGAATTTTGCACCTGCTGAGTGCCCTTCAGACTCTAAGAAGAGGCAGTCTTGTCTTTAAGCACACCCTCAATATTAATTATCATCTTAACCTTTTAACTAATCTGTGCTTCAGTTTCCTCAGCTGTAAAATAACAAGAATAAATCCTGTGTCATGTTGTGAAAATTAAAAGAGTTAATATGGATAAAGCACTTAGAACAGTATCGCTGTGTGTTTGCTCTTATTTGGGGAGATAATGTAGTTTAGTTATTAAAAGCATGGATTCTGGGACTAACTTGCTTTGGTTTGAAGCTTGGCTTTACCATTTACTAATGTGACCTTAGAAAGAATTTAGAGGGTCTATTTTTCATATGTTGGCCTATGTGAGAATTGAATAATCTTGTAAAGCACTGAGAACAGTTTTAAAACATACTAAGGTTTAGTTATTACTAAACTGTCCCTTCTCCTTGCTAACCACCCACAGGTGGCCTGTCACTGAATGTACATCTTCTTGTAGAGTGAAAGCACTCCAGAAATACCAGAAGCTGTGCTCAGAATCTTTCACACTAATAGAGCCTTGCCAAGACTACTTGGCCAGCGTCCCCTTTGTGCAGTCAACTTTCCCACACAACACACAGTGGGATTTGTGGAAAACATTCTCCCTATTTTCCTTCCTGCTCTTGGAAGACCAGGAATAATTATCTTGTTAACCCCAATTCCTCCACTCAGGAGAAACCCATCTTTCTTCTAATTGGCAGGAGAACTATTAAGCAATAGAAGATATTTTGAATTAAATCAAGAATAAAGCCACGCATTCAAATAGCATTTATTTGAACTCAAACTGCCAGGGGCTTTTCCAAATCTAAAAGTCACAATTGAAAACAGTGCTTTAAACTTGAAAGACATCAAAGGTCTATTTTGAATCTAGGCTTGTAGAGAACTCAGGATTGTTTATAATTTGATTTTAATGAATTAAAAGTTTGTGTATTGTTACTTTAATTTTTTTTTAAAAAGATCCTGATGATCCTGTTACACAGAAAAAGGAACTCTGTTACATGTCGGAAAAAGTGATAGACTTTATATTCACTTATTTTTAGCTTTTTAAAATTATACTTTAAGTTCTGGGATGCATGTGCAGAATGTGCAGATTTGTTACAAAGGTGTGTATACATGTGCTATGGTGGTTTGCTGCACCCATCAACCCGTCATCTAGGTTTTAAGCCCTGTGTGCATTAGGTATTTGTCCTAATACTATTCCTCCTCTTTCTCCCCTATAATTCTTAAGAAGTGTATTTTTTTTTATTTTTATAGATTTAGGGGGGGTGCATGTATTGTCTTGTTATATGGATATATTGCCTAGAGGTGAAGTCTGGGTTTTCAGTGTAGCCATCACCTGAACAGTGTACATTGTACCCAATAGGTAATTTCTCATCTCATTCCCACCCACTTCCAAGTCTCCAGTGTCTATTATTCCGCTTTCTATGTCTGTATGTATGCATTATTTGGTTCCCACTTACGAGTGAGAACATGCTGTACTTCAGTAAAATAACTCAGAAGCTTTCTGATAGCCTCCAGTTCCAGGCATGTTGCTGCAAAAGAAATGACTGTATTCTTTTTATGGCTAAGTAGTATTCCATTGTGTGGTACCACATTTGCTTTTCCAGTCATCTATGGATGGACAGAGGTTGATTTCACATTTTGGCTAATATGAATAGTGCTATGACAAACATACCGGTGCAGGTACCTTTTTAATATAATGATTTATTTTCCTTTGGGAGAAGTATATCGTTAAGATGTGTTAGAACACCTTCTTTGGTACCTAAGAACATAAGGTATCCTAAAAAATCAGTAGCCACAGATTAGCACACTATTATAATTTTCTTTACCATGTCTATTGAAAAAAATTATATTTGAAATACCGCAGTTTTGGTTGCTGTTGTTTTGTTTTTGCAATAATCTTGACCAACACGTGTAGCTGAATTGGTAAAACAAACTGAAAACCTCAGGCAGGCCTTAAATTTTTTGTAGCGCAAGTGGGAGCAGAGCACCACCTAGTGTCAATTTTGAGTAATTCTCTCAGATAAGAAGGACTGCCTAGGGTGAAAATAATTTACCCAAAGGCACATAGTCAATATAGGTCAAATTAGGTCAAAATCCTGGAACGAAATCCACATTTATTGACGATAGCCCCATGCTTTTTCTTCTATTGTTCTCTACAATTTTATATCAAAGAAAGGAAATATGTAAAAAGTAAATCCCTTCCACTAATGGAAATTCAATTTAGGTGACAAATTTATTATAAAGCAGGACTATTCAAATACCAGTTATGTCTAAAGCACTATGAGAACCGAGAACTCAATTCCAGAGTCAATTCCACAGACTCTAAGATGGGGCAAAAAAAAATATATATATATATATACATGTTAATTTCTGGCTTTCTTATGGTTCCCTGAGGTCTCTGCAGCAACCCAGCTAGCACTTTGGACCTTCTCCGCCATCGGTATGGCCAAAAATAATTCAGCCTCTGAAATTTATTGCTGAGGAACAAGTGGGATGATTTCACTTACCTATGTGGCCCTACTCTTAAAATGTTCATAGTTAGTTCATGCCAGATACATTTTGCGTCTCAGAATGTCCGTGTGCCCTCTTCATAACCGTGGTTAGCCCCAAGTTGAGTATGAACCTAGTCAAGGGTGGGGATGGTGCTGCTCTTCTTTTCGGTTCAGGCATTCTCCTCTGCCTCTCTTCCAGTTACTACTTCTCACCCCAAAGAACCCAAGGCTTCTCCCCAACTTTGCGCTCCCTCAGGGCCCTACCAGACAATGGCAAATTAAATGACAACAGTACCAACAGCTTGCCATATAAAATCATTTCTGGAATGAGGCAAAATATGAGGTGGTGAAAGAATAAAGCCAAATAAATAAATAAAGTTGCTGTACTGAGATATCAGTGCTCATGTGGGCTCATACGTTATTCTTCCTACACAACTTTTAAATTTCCCTAAGAATATTGAGTAAATTCAGACAAATTTAATATGTTAATGGATGAGCTGGTTTGGGGAAGAGGGAACTTTTGGTGCAAGAGAGGCTATGCACATCTAATCTCTGACAGCCCTGTCCTAAATCATTTTGCACTTTCTTGTATGAACTCTCAAAGGTACTCTCTGAATCCATTTTCTTCATCTGTAAAATGAGAAACATTAACAACTATTTTATATGATTATTTTTTATGAAGATTCAAAAGGATCTACTATGTGCTAAGTAATCACCAGTCACTTGAAATTTAGCTATGATAATAATTATTTCTATTGATGTGTGCCCATTAAGAAATCCATTCTAGGATTTTAACAAGTAACAACAAAATTGCCCCAGCCCTTTGTTTGAGCCAATGCTTCCGTTTTTAACTAGCTGCAGATTTTTTTTTTCCATTTATTTTTTTTATTGCATTTTAGGTTTTGGGGTACATGTAAAGAACATGCAAGATTGTTGCATAGGAACACACGTGGCAGTGTGATTTGCTGCCTTCCTCCCCATCACCTACATCTGGCATCTCTCCCCTTGCTCTCTCTCCCCAACTCCCCACCCCTCACCGTCCCTCCCCTATTTCCCCCCAACTGAACCCAGTGTGTAGTGCTCCCCTCCCTGTGTCCATGTGTTCTCATTGTTCAACACCCACCTATGAGTGAGAACATGAGGTGTCTGATCTTCTGCTCTTGTGTCAATTTGCTGACAATGATGGTTTCCAGATTCATCCATGTCCCTACAAAGGACCCAAACTCATCGTTTTTGATGGCTGCATTAGCTGCAGATTTTTAATGTTCTGAGAGTGCTCTCAATAACTCTGAAAAAAAAAAAAAAAAAAAAAAAAAAAGGGACCCACTCATCAATCCTGTTTTTAGCCACGAAGGTTTTGCTAAGGGAAAGAAAAGACAGCAGAGGAATAGAAGGAAATCTATTCTGGCAAGTAACATTGGACAAAATCAACAGGACTAGAATATTCAGCTTAAAGTCTTGATTACCCTTTATGTTCTGGCAAATGATAATAATACTAGCTTTTACTAGTATGCTAGGCACTGTCCTTATCAATTCCCAGTATTCACTCCCTTAATCCTCACAGTAATTTATCATTTTGCACAACGAAGAAATTGAAGCACAAAGAATGAAATAACCAAACTCATGAGAACAAATGGCAGAGCTGTACTTCGAACTTGAGTCAGGCTCCACGGGTACATAGTGATATTTAGACACATGCAATTTAGAGTGATCAACTCATGGTAATTTGCATACTCATCTCGAACATTTGTCATTCTCTTTGTGTTGAGAATGCTCAATGTCCTCCTTCTAGCTATTTTATTATTTTGCTTTTGATTTTGATTTTTGAGACAGAGTCTTGCTATGTTGCCCAGGCTGGAGTACAGTTGCATGATCTCACCCCATTGCAATCTCTGCGTCCTGGGTTCAAATGATTCTCCTGCATCAGCCTCCTGAGTAGCTGGGACAACAGGCACCCACCACCACAGCAGGCTAATTTTTTTTCCATATATATCTAGCTAATTTTTGTATTTTTAGTAGAGATGGGGTTTAGTAGAGAAGGGGTTTCACCATGTTGGCCAGGCTGGTCTTGAACTCTTGACTTCAAGTGATCCACTCACCTTGGCCTCCCAAAGTGCTGGGATTACAGGTGTGAATCACTGTACCCAGTCTCTTCTAGCTATTTTGAATTATATATTATTAACTATAGTCATTACACAGTGGCATAGAACACCAGAATTTTCATTTTCCTCTTGCTCCTTTCTATCCTCGTCCCTTGCCAAACATCTGCCCAAGTTGTCAACCCACCTGAGCAAACCTGAGCAAAACTAATGGTTTATTTTCTAAGAAGGACACCTCCTTTTCTACTCACTAATTTTAAGGTTCAAATCTTTTCTACACAGATCACAAAATATCTCTGGGTACATGACACAGAATGGATTCTTTTTGTTCTTTCTCCTTCGTACAGAGTTAAGTTTTCAGACAGCTGCTTTATAGCTTCATTGTCACCTTTTAGCCTGATTATCCCATAGTGTTAAGACTTTACAGCTATTGACTAAAGCAAGTGCCTTGTACAAGACAATGGCAAAATGGGCAAGGAAACTTTCTTTAATGAGTCCCAACTGAATAGCTTTGGTAAAAGTGTCAACTTGCTATGACAAAATACCATGGGTTCCTCAAAATAGCTTGATTTTTAAAAAACTTAGTAGACAAATTCAGTGTCATCTTTAAACTACTACTGACCTCTCATTTTCCTTTGTCTGGGCTCCATCTCGGTAAAAATAAACCCTTTTAGCTAGCAGATATTCTCAGTTAACAAGCCTGTATCAGGTAATATAAAATACAAAATAGTGGGTGATACAAAATAATGGACATTTGTGTGTGCATTGTAGTGAATAAGTGATTTAGAATATGTATCATTCAGAATATATGTCACAGCCGGAAATAATGAGGAGGGACATGGCTTTACTTTTGGTTTCTAAATGAGAAAAATACTGTCAAAAACTATGACCCAACAGCTATATTAATTTTTTCTTCTACATTTTCATAGAACAAATTACTCATTTAAATATTGACTCAGGATTCTATTTTTTTTCACTAACTGTCACAAAACACTAGTGAGTAGACTCATTGTTAAATAGCAATACTCATCACCTATCACTCACCCATTAGCATGATTGAATTGGCATTCTTGTGGTAATTACCATGAATTATCTATTTCTACCATCCTGTCTTTTCCCAGCACCAAGCATTGCGGATGTTTGCAAAATCGCAGAGAAGGACAGAAGACAAATAGAGCTTCCTACCACCTCCATTACCAGAGTATTGGCAAGAGCATCTTGAATAAATATGACAACGGTGATGATGATAGCTAATATTTATTGAATATTCTTTACCAGGCATGATTCAATCTGCATATACTATCTCATTTACTGCCTCCACCCACCCTATAAAGTATGCACTATTATTAAAACCATTCCACAGAGGAGAAAACTGAGACTTAGAGACATGATGTAAGTTGCCCGGGATCACACAGCTGCTGAGTAGCAGAGCTAGAATTCAAACCCAGGTAATCTGAATTTAAAGCCCACATGCTTAACAGTTTAACTCTACTCCAGAGTTTCTCAGCCTCAGCATTGTTGACACACACGGCCGGATAATCCTTGCTGTCAGGGCTGCCCTGTAGGGTGGTAAGATGCTTAGCAGTTTAGCGGTATCCCTGGCCTCTGCCCACTACATTACAGTAGCACCTTTTCTCCCTTGCTTTCCACCTCCAGTTGTGGCAGCCAAAAATGTCTTCAGGCGTTACCAAATGGCCTCTAGGGGGCGAAATTGCTTCCCCAGCCATGGTGGAAACCACAGTTCCTCTCTAACCCCTCTTTATTCTGATCACCTAAGCTCATGTCATTAAATAACTTTTAGAAATATAATTTTAACGGCTGTGATAAATTTTATTGAATATTAAGTTAGTGCTACACTTAAAATATTACTTTTGATTAATAAAGAAAAAAATGATATTTGAAAACTTAAAGCAATCAGGTTCTTGTATTGACATTAAAATAATAAGTAGGAGGCGATTTATATTGCAAAGACTAACTTTGTTCTTTAAAATGTGTCACCCATGTTTTACCCAGCATACTTCTGAAGATAAAATGAAGGAGATTTGTGTCAGTAACAAATCTCTTTAATAATGAAAGAGTTTATTTGGTTACTGTAAACAGGCGTGGCCTAAGTCAACAGTCAAATACAATATTACTGCATGCATATATTTCTGGAAATGAATATAAATTCATCACTGACATTTATAGAACTTCAAAATTCTATTGTTTTTCTAAAATGTCTAATGAAAATTTACTAACACTTTGGTTGTATTTTTGCTCATTTTAAAATATATAATTAGATATATATTTAAAGGATGTAATTTACTATTTCCACCAATGTAATTGACTAAATGCATAAGTGCCTACTGCTATGTAGCTACTTAAAAAATATGTAAAAATTAAGGTCTGCATTCCTGAGGAAGTTATTTTAGAAACAAGTCAGACATACACAAAAGCCCTAAGAATAAGAAAAAAGAGTGTAAACGAACTAATATTTTGTATAATTCATATTAAAGTAAAACACACACACACATAAACACACCAAAGTTAAGGAATATAGTAAAATTCATTTAATGGAGATGTTCCATATAATCATTTTGTTACAAATTTTGCATTTCCCGCATGAAAAAATCACAGTAGGCACATACTAGAAGCAAAATATATCAGACAAAAGCATTCTAAAGACGTTTCTATTATCAAACTTTTATAATTTTTCCAAATCTCTTTTGAGGTATGGGAAAAAATCTGGAGTATTTTTGGCTAAAACTAAACACACTCTATCCACGTGAATTTTGACTATTGTTCACCAAATAGTAAAAAAAAAAAGCACATAATTTTCTACAAATTCCATGAAGTTTTAAATCAATGGTGTTCGATTTACATTTACCAGGAAATGATTTGCCCATCACTGTAAAACTTGAATTAAACATACATCAGGCTAAATAAATGCAAAAGAGAACAGTGATTTTTGTTGGCTTTGGAGACAAAGGTATGTATTTGCGTGATCATGTATTATTCTTGACCTTTTCCTTTGGTGCGATTTGGAAGTAACCTGTCTTTTAATACCCTACATTGGACATCATCATTGCAATCCAAGTGAGCAGTTTCGCAACACAATTATCTAATATACACATGCTGCTTAGGGATGCAATGTTATCATATTTACCACCAGATTAAATAACTCAGGAAAACGGAACCACTAAGTCTTTCAACATGCGGAAATTCAGCACTCTTGATAGATTATGAGCTTTCATTTTCCTTCATTTTGAGGCTTTTTCAATTGGTCTTGTGTTGTTTCTTCATCTTTCTCCTTTACATCTGAAAAAAATTAATTTTCCATTTATATGTAGAATATATTGAAATTTATTTTATATTATATTGGAATAAAACTGTTGGTTTTCCCTTTGTCCACCCTCCCTCTTTTGCCCTCAATTCAGATATGGAAACTACACACAGAAGAGAGATATGAGTAGGTTTGGGAATCTTTCTCCTCATCAACTTTCTCCTATTCTACATAGTTATTAAGTGCCAGGCAGTCTTCTAGGGTATTCTCAGAACCTCCATTTACAGATTACTAAACAGAAACACAAGCAGATTAAGTGACTTGTCCAAAGTCAGAGAGCTAGTGAGTGACAGTCACGACTTGAGCTTAGACCAACTGACTCTGCGGTCCATGTCCTTAGCCAACTTCCTATGCAGGATTGCACTCTCTCCAGCTTCTTGACACTTTTTACTCCCTTTGCTCTTTGTCACTTTCCACTTCATAGACAAAATAATCAAAGCTATCAGACAGGAGCTCCCTCAACTTCCTGCCATTAAATGTCTAAAACTCCCTGTGATCTGTGCTTATTCTTTCTGCCCTTCCTGTTATTACAATGGAAGGTGCACTTGTCAGCACTGGGTAGGTAATTTGTTGGTGCCCGGTGCAAAATGAAAATGCAGTATCCTTGTTCAAAAACTTATGAAAAATTTCAAGACAGCAACAGTAGAACAGTAAACCAAGTGCAAATCTCTTCTAAGCAAGAAGCCTTATGCAACCACCCTGGTTGCACAATTCTGGAGCTGGCTCCTGCTGTTGCTCCTGCTATCCAGTCTAAGGCCTTCATGATTCCTCATCCTATCCGTTTTTCTTCATCAGGAGGCTGACTCTAATAATCATCTGCTGCTCTCCATTTTATCTGACTTTCTCCTGGCTCCATCATTCCCTCAAGTCACTACCATCTTTAAATTAACTAAGATCTTCTTTCAACTGTAAGTCTTCTACATACTATCTTCTCTTTTATCCTTTAAAAAGTACCCCTCTTTTGCTGTCTCCATTTTTAAGTAAAACTATTTAGGTCTACTATTCTTCCAGAATTGTTCCTACCACGTCATAAATGGCATCTTTGAAATCTGATGGATTCTATTCAGGTCTTCAACTTTCATTCATCAAATATTTATTAAACATGTACTATATACAAGGCAATGAACAAAACATAAATCCAGGCTCTCAAAGAATACTTGATGAGAAATATGGATAATAAAATAAATAAAATGTGTGCTCAATAAGAAGTAAAAAGGGCTAATGAAGAAATTAAAGCAGGAGTGGAAAATGGAAATTTTCAAGAAGTCTTGGGGCCTGGAGGATGCAATTCTAGACAGAGTTAGCTGGGAATGCCTCACTGAGAAGGGGGTATTTGAATAAAGCCTGAGAAGGTGAAGCAGAATTCTATATAGGGAGCAGGGAGAAGAGCATTCCAAGCGCAGAGAAAAGCAAAACCAAGACAGTAATATGCAGGAAAGATTTGCAAGTGGGAGGACAATGGTAAAGAAAATTGGAATGGAAAATGGAGTCATAGAGGTACCAAAAAAACTAGATCTTGTGGGTGAAAAATGGCAAATTTATGGACCTCTTTTGAAGGTAGAGCGGACAGTATTCGCTTATAGATGGGATGGAGAATATGAGAAAAAGAGGGGAGATAAGGATGATTCCAATGTTTTCGGCTATAACTTTCTTAACTGGAATTATGATTTGCAGAGGTGGGGAAAATGCAGAAGGAGCTGTCACCAGGAGACTATCTGGAGTTTGCTTTTATACCCATTAAGCCTGAGATTCCTTTAGATATCCAAGCAGAGATGCCAACTAGGCAGTTAGTATATGAGTGTGCAGCTCAGGGGAGCCCCAGGTTGGAGATACAAATTTGTAAGTCATCAAAAGCACGATCATCAAGCCAATGAACTCAGATTACATCACAGATGAAGGAGTGTTGATAGAGATTATGTCCAAAGACTGAATTCTGATAATCTCCAATTTACTAAGATTTAGGGCAGATGAGGAAAGAGAAGCTCAAGGAGGAGCAGCCAGGGAAGCACGAAGAAAACCAGATGAGTGAAGTGTCCGGAAAGCCAAGGGAAGATAAATATTACAGGAAAGAATGACAATCATCTATGACTAAGAGATCAAGCAAGATGAGGACTAAGAATGAACCACTGATTTTGGCAGAGACAGTGTATTGTGATCTTGAAACAGCAGTGGAGTGATGTGGTGAGGTGAAAATCTTATTAGGCAAAAAGAATGGGATGCAGAGGATTTGGAGCCACAGAAGCAGGTAACTCTGTCAAGGAATTTTGTTATGAAACAGAAACGGAGGGCAGTAGTTGGAGGGAGAATTGGGATCAAGGCGGAATTTGTACTCTAGTGATCATAACTGGTTGTCTTCTAATTAACATGGCAGATGCTTAATAAGTGTTTTGAAAGAACTCTCTTAGAAAAACAAGCTTAATAGAAAATGGTACTCTATAACAGTATGAAATATAAAGCACTAAATTATGTCTACAGTAATTGAAGCTGCACTTGCCACACTGATTCTAAGCAAACTACACATAAAGGTTTCTAGCTTTCAGAGAAGAGTTGCTATATCTGCTATCTCTAAGTTGGTCTAATGAGCAGATGATGATATGAAATCCCCTTAACTTGTTATCTTTCTATGAAATGAAGTAAGAATTCAAGATAATAATTAGATGAAAACTAACAAGATATCATCTGTTGTCAATCTAGTATCTTGCTTGGGATTATTAACTAAAATATAAAACATGATTTAAAATACCTCTTGTAGTCTCATTTTTTGCTTTGTAATGTGAAAGTGGTTAGAAATATGTTGAAAGATTATTTCAGATGCAAGGAAACAATAAACTGCTCAAGAGGTTATGATTGCTGTCAACTTTGTAATGTGATGTTAATGAAAGGAAAACTCTTTTTCATATATTAGGTACTTTCTGATCAACATTACTGTTATTCTTCAACCTTCTGCACATGTCAAGTGTTTCAATGTAATTGAATATATTTTCAACATATTCCTTCAACATAATTTCTCTGAGAGAAACATCAAACTTTCCTTTCAATCCGGTTCGTGTCATTTCAAATGTGAATAAGCTTTTTTGAACAGTTACTTATCTCACTTTTTTGATCATAATAAGAACTCTTGGGAAAGTAAGAAAACGTTGAGTCCTAGATTATCTGGCTTGATTTGTTCTCTAGAAGCCTAGCTTGAAAAAACATTTCTCATACACGCATGCGCGCGCACACACACACACACACACACACACACACACACACACACACACGGTAACATTTATATAAACATTACATTCAGATCCTTATTATATATCTTTTAGGTAACATACTTTAGCTGTTTACTAAATCAGGCTTTTCATTAATATAAATCACATAGAATAGTCTATTTTTTTTTACATTTTCTATTTCCATCCTGGTGTTCTGCTCTTCTTTGTATCAACTACCTTTTCTACTCCTTGTCACATTTTCAGAGTGCCTCACAGAACAATAATTCTGCAAGATATTTCTTCAGGGATGGTCAAATAAATGAGAGAAAGAAATGCTGTATGTTCTATTTATAGAAGGGTATAGACACACTATTACTTTAAAGTCTCTGTAACAAAGGTTCTCAGAAGTCCTTGTCTAAAAAGGAAACATTCTGAGAAGTGTAAAAAGCCAATTATGTTTAAACCACCAATTCCAAACTTATTTGACCACAACACCCTTTTTGTATGTAACACATTAACACCCAGAAGAATTCCTGTGAAACATTTATTGAGAAAAGTTGGTATAATGGGAAAGACTAAGGCTTTGGAACCAGAGATTCTATTATCACTTAATTTTTGTGAGCTTGAGCAAATCACTTAACCTGCTTGGGGCTTAGTTATGGTAACATCTATAAATCAAAAGAGTGGGGACATTTTAAGGCTCCCTTTCCTTTTCACATTCTGTGTTTCCATTTGTGCTGAAAAGGTAATCTATTCATGTTGCTTGTCAGGGGAGAATTTCATTTGCACTGTTTCTCCTCAGTCATATAAAATATGTTTTAAGAATATACACTCAAGGCCAGGCTCAGTGGCTCATGACTATAATCCCAACATTTTGGGAGGCCTGAAGTTAGGAGTTCCAGACCAGCCTGGCCAACGTGGTGAAACCCCATCTCTACTAACAATACAAATATTAGCCGGGCGTGGTGGTGGGTGCCTGTAATCCCAGTTACTTGGGAGGCTGAGGCAGGACAATCGATTGAAACTGGGAGGCAGAGGTTGCATTAGCCGAGATTGTGCCATTGCACTCCAGCCTGGGTGACATGAGTGAAACGCCATCTCAAAAAACAAAAACAAAAATAAAAAACACTCAAACATTCTGAATGTTTTTCTTTCTGGTCCACTAGACCTTTATATCCAATTGCTTCATTGACATGTCCATTTAGATGTCTCATAGGCATTCTGAAGACAGAAATCTTTACTCTTCCAACTCTCAAAATTGCCTGTCCTCTAGGCTAACCCTTCTCAGTGTATGGCATCAGCACCTGCCCGGCTGCTCTAGGAGTTATCCTCCAATTCTCTTCCTCACCTCTGCCACACCCAATTCATTAGCAAGCCCTATTGATTCTGCCTATAGAGCATATCTCAAATCCACAGACCTTTCTTCTTCCCATGATGCCACCCTCTGTCACCTCTTGTTCATATGTCATCAAATATCGTTGTCCTTCTTATCGTGGTTATCAATTTATGAGGGATAGATTAAGACAGATTATGAACTGAGAAAATCTCAGGTTAATTTCATGCAGGATGCAAGACAACTGAAATCCTGGATTTCCTGTCACATAATAATGTTTTTAAAAAATTAATATTTTTAAATAAATATTAGTTTTTATAATATTAATAATATTTATTTAAAAATTAAAAACAAAAACAAAAGAGAATAGATCTGAGGGAAATCTGCAGATCTCCCTCACCTCAGAATTTGTATTTTTAAGTGAAAAAATTATTGAAACCATAATATCTGAGACAGACCCCAGCTTTCAGTTTTCATTAGCAATTGGAAACAATTCATTTAAAAATTCATAATAATATCTATGCTTAGCTAATGAGAAAAAGATAAGTTTTCAAACTACTTATAACTTCGTTAATAAAATATTATATATGTCATCTACCTATGTAAGCCTATTTCCTTTTGTGTATTTTTTTCTAATCTTTAACTTTTCATTGATAAATAAAATTATATATATTTATGTTGTGGTGCGACATGATGTTTTGATATATGCATACAGTGAGGAGTGGCTAAATCAATCTAATTAACATATCCATTACCTCACAAACTTACACATGTATATGTATATGTATGTGTATGTGTGGTAAGAACACTCAAAATCTACTGTTTTGGCAATCTTCAAGTATACAATACATTGTTATTAACTATAGTCACCATGTTGCTACAATAGATCCTTTGAACTTATTTCTCCTGTCTAATTGTAATTTTATATCTTTTGATCATCATCTTCCTAATTTTCCTAGTAGCTACCATTCTACTCTCTGTTTCTAGCAGATTGACTCTTTTAGATTCCACGAGGGAGATCAGGTGGTATTTGCCTTTCTGTGCCTGGCCTATTTCACTTTACATCATGCCTTCATTCTTTTATGTAATCTTTAGCATCTGGTGTTATATGTGAATTCATTTTTAACATTTTGATTTTAACTGATCCATTTGACTTATTTCAAAACAATTTGAAGAAAAATATAAAAACAGGAACATATTCTTTCAGATCCTAGTCTCTCTAGTGACCAAAACAAAATAGAGGACACTGCTGACTCTCCCACAGTGTATTTGCTCTCTTTTGCTTAATTAAGTAATGTCAGTAAGCATTAAGGTTTTGTGTGTGCTGAAGATGTATAAAGTTTAAATAGGCTTTTATACTAACAAGTGATTGCCTTTTCTCCCTCACTAGTTTAGGATGGACTCTTCAACAGCAACATCATGTTCTTATGGTCACATGACATTTTCAAACTTAAAAGGCCAAAAATATTACACACATTTTTATTTCTTTTCTTCCCTTCATCTTTTCCATCTTTTCTTTCTTCTTATAATATTTTATGTTGATGTGTATGCTTTTTTACTCTCACCTATAGTGTCACATATGAGAAAAAGTGGCCTTTGGAAAAAGTTGAGATACTCATGGAACTGCAGGATCTGGTCATAGTCCCTGACCTACAAGGATATTTTTCTTTTTTTTTGAGAGGCAGTTTCACTCTTGTTGCCCAAGCTGGAGTGCAATGGTGTGATCTTGGCTCACTGCAACCTCTGTCTTCCGGGTTCAAGCGATTCTCCTGCCTCAGTCTCCTGAGTAGCAGGGATTACAGGCATGTGCCACCATGCCTGGCTAATTTTGTATTTTTAGTGGAGACGGGGTTTCTCCATGTTGTTCAGGCTGGCCTTGAACTCCTGACCTCAGGCAATCTGCCCACCTTGGCCTCCCAAAGTGTTGGGATTACAGGCGTGAGCCACCCCGGCCTCTATAACTATTTCATAACGATTGAACAAGGAACATTTGTAACTCTACCAGGTAGCAAATAGCCTCCTGAAGCAAAAAGCCAAGAGCCTCCTTCTTGGGCTACCGGAAATGGGCTAGATGTGAGCAGCCTCTTGTTCTCACTTGCTTCACTGTCACCAAGAGTAAATTCCCAAACAAATACTAGAGTACACCTGAGAGTGTAAAAAATGGGGCACAAAACATGAGTAGTTTGCTAATGGTTTGGAATTAAAATTATCTTTAATCTTTCTGAGTGTATTTTTTAACTTTGATTCAGGGTTTTTGTTTTTGTTTTTGTTTTTTAATCTCCATGAAGGTTTTTAAATGAAAGACCCCTTTTAACACTTTATATTCATTTTCAGGAGACTAAATTCTGGAAGCTATATAAACTATATGTAAACAATGGAGAGAAAGACCTAAGATTTCCCTTCATGGTTTGACAGCTCTAAATTTCCCTTAATGCCATCTTTTTTCACTGACTGAAGAATGTTCACCTTTTATACAAAAACTCTCTTGAAAGAATTTCATCCCTACTTGATAGTAAGCTTCTTCCTAGATATGAGAATTAAAGGGCTTGTAGCATACTACAGTGAAGCAGAAGCTTCCAAAGTGATTTGACAATGGATGGCAGAAGAAAAATTATTTTATTTGTGAATACTTCTCAATAAAATTGAAAGCTCTTTGAGAGAAAGATCACATGTATTCACCTTTGTATTCCCAATTACTAGCCTTGTGCATGACAATACACATGAAATGAATAAGTAAAACTTCAGTTTCCATATACACAGCATGAGACAAAAAGATGAAATATTTGACTTGGAAAAGGCTGAAAAATCTACTAAGCCTTAAACAAAACCTGAGAGGTTTAAAGAAACAAATAAGGAAACTGAGCACTTTTAACTAGATAAAAAAAAGACTGTTCCAGAGAAAGGATTGGTTAAGAAGTGACAATGCTGTTAATTTTAAGAGGGTATTGAGTATTACCTTCCTTCACAGAGAGAGCCTCCAGTTTGAGGGGCAAATCTGAGGTTCCGCCTATGGCAGCTGGACTCTGGATGTCTGGTAAGGCATTCCGGCGGCCTGCCCTTGCTGAAGATGCAAAATTGGTGACCCCAGGTTCCACATCAGTCATTTTTGATGAATCTGTCCTCATAGCAACATCTACGAATAGAATGCGCACATGAAGAAGAAAATGAGCCTATTCAGAGCTAAATGTTCACCACAGTGGTTAAAAGGCATGGCTAGATCAAAAACATAACAGTCCTGAGAGTCTAATCACTGATCACAACCTTCATCAATGTCTACTGCTATAGTCCTGGAGCATCCATTTGCACATTCACTGAATAGAACAGGAAGTCCTCAGTGTGAGACAGATTGCTAAAAATAAGCTCTGAGCTGAATGAGCCACTTGGATGCTTAAGGGTGCAGTAATCCCTTGCCTTTTGTTCTGCTTTTCTATGGATGGATCAGCCAAACTAGGGCTTGGAAGGAAATGAAAACTGACTTGTTTGACCACTCCTGTAGAGACTCTGCCTGCCAGTGTTTGCTTGTGGTGCTTGTTCAGGCTGAAACCAGATAACTATAATTTGTAGGGACCAAACAAAACACTCTGTTCCTACTTCTTAGAAATAAGAAATTCTACTTTATCTCAAAGACGTTTCCCCAGAAAGAGCTGCGTATTTTGATATGTTCTGATCTGAGACAGGTACATGTGAAGGTTTGTTACACATGTAAACTTGTGTCAGGGGATTTGTTATTTCATCACCCAAGTATTAAGATTATTTCTTAATTATTATTTCTTAATAATCTTAATACTTAGATTATTTCATCACCCAAGTATTAAGCCCAGTACCCAATAGTCATCTTTTCTGCAGCTCTCCCTCATTCCACCCTCAACCCTCAAGTAAACCCAACGTCTGTTAAAAAAGAGCTTCTAAAAAGCAGCCCTTGGAGTGCTTCAACATGGAAAAGAAATTCTGGGTTTCATGTTTATTTCAAGATCATTTTGCTGCTCGCTGCCTGCTACTTTAGAAGTTTTTGCTTTTGCCTTTATATTATTATTTCAGATATACACTTTCTGACTTAGTCCTTTTTTGTAGATTGATGCTGGAAAATAAAAGAATCACAAAACTGTCTATAAGTTTGTTAAAGTAATATTCATTAACTACTATTTTAAGACCAAAACCAGAATTGGCCATATAAAGAGGCTAAGTAACAAAACTGCTTTACTTAGGGGCTGTACTTGGCCATGGCAAACTCACATTTGGTGCCATCTTCCTTTCAGAGTCTGCTGCTTATATTGACTGACCAATTTTTTGTCACGGGTAGAAAAAACAGCTAATCCCCCCAGCCTCACAGCGATGTGGAAGATAGCACTTCCGAAACAGAAAAGCTATTTTCCTGACCAAACGTGTCAATGGCCTAGAAATTGGTGGCAAGAACATTTGGATCCACAAGGTGACTGACTGTTAGCTGGGCTCTTTAAACTCCAAAGCACACAGATTTATTATACCACTGGAGATAACCTGAAAGCCCATAAAAAAAATATGAATAAACTATGTATATTATACTATGGAATGTTATACCACAATTTTAAAGAATGTATTAGATCCAGTGACACACTGAAGTAAAGCAAGTTTAAAAATTAACATTTATAGTGTGGGGGAAAAGGGGAGAAAATTATGAATACAATAAAATTTCAACTTTATACAAATAATAAAAATCCTAATTGGGAAGGGAGAACAAGAAAAGTATTAACCTTTTTTCAATACCTCTTTACATGTTTTGACTTGTACTAATGAGCATGTATTACCGTTGTAATTAAAAAAAATTGAAACATCCACCTAGAAAAATTATGAATAGATATTTTAGCACAGAAAGGCTCTAAAAGTAACACTTTAACAATTTAACCAAATAATAGCATATCCTTAAGTGAAAGCTTCTCCTTTCCCCAATAAACATCTTATTTGTCTGTTGTTAATTTTCTATACAAGACTGATTGCATATGCTTGATTTTTTTTAAAAAAGGTGTGATATACATACAGAAAAGAGACAATTGCTCTCTTTCAATTCCTTTGACATTTAAAATATATAGCCCATAGAAAGATAAGGAAATACTGCAGTGAAAAATGACAGATTAATTTGAGGTTCTTTTAATTTTCTGAGCTTAAAAAGCTAATCATGTTTATGTTTGCTAACCAAAGCAGCTGACTCACTAGCAACTCTTCCTCTTTTTTCTTCCATAGAATTAACAAAGGACTCTAGGTCAGTGCTGCTTTGTCAACTGTGGCTACTTAGGCAGGAGCTGGAGCAGTTTAGACATTTGGAGATTTCACAGAAGTTCTTGCAATCCCACAGCAAGGTAATGCATTTTACATTGCCTGGAACACACTTCTATCTCTACTGAAAATATACAGTTTTCAGGCTGCTTGACAAAAGACTATTACACAGTCATATACATGCCGGCACCTTTAGAGTTTCTGAAATATTGAAAATGCAACACCAGCACAACTCAAGAGGAGAAGATGTTCAAGCTAAATGGAGCACTAAAGGCATACTAAAAAATCACCAGTCAGAACCCGCTGGGCTCCAAAGAGCCTGCTAAGAAAAGAGGATGTTAGTATGTTAGAAGCATGATTATAAACAAACAGAAGTTTGTGCAAACTCTTTCTTAAAGCCAAGATTGCAAAATGATAGATACCTTCTTTTCTCATCTCTGGATACATATCACTCACCCTATCTTCCATAGTGAAACCACTGCTCATTTTATACCTAAGACTTCAAATAAATTTCCTGCTCACTAAATTAGTTCTCTGGAGGTATGAGTCAGACTTTCTGAAAAAACACAGAATAACAAAGAAGTAAAAACATGCATTTTGGAAAAAATGTCAGTGCTTTTCCTGGCCAAAGACTGAGAGAGAGGGAGAGACAGACAAATGGACAGACAGACTGACACTGGTCTCTACTGGTAAACAACTGCTTTATCTGCCTCTCTCCAGCTCTCAGTATCCTAATATCTTATGCTAGATGTTTTCAGTTCTCTGCCTACAGATCTTTTATTTTTTATGATTTATTTTTATGATTTTGAAACATACAAACCTCTTCCAAACAAGGTGAAAGAACTAGAATTACTTCTTTATGTGCCAGCAAAAACAGATCATTATTTATTCACTCAGTCATTTCTTGAGTTCCCACTAAATTATTGAGTGCAAAATCTTGTTCTTGGCCCACAAGTTAAAAAGAGTAACCCACCGTCTGGTGAGATGAGACATAGTTTGATCTTTCCAGTTATCTTTCTTGACCTCAAATCCTATTATTTGGAAATAAAGTAAAATTACCCATTCCTAAAATGTGAATCCTTTATATATCTCCTATTCACTTAAGCAGCAAGATCATTTTGAGCTAAATAAAACTTACATGAAATGTAGACATGTATAATTATTTTGTAAACTTTGAAACCTTTCTGCTTTTGACATTTTTCTGTAGATGGTATTTCCATGCCTCTAGTGCAAGTCAAAGGGAACGCTACCTTTTGTTTGTTGACACACACATTTTTTAAAGCTTATGTTCTTGCTTGATAATTGCATAGACAGATCCTTCAATATACATTGGTAGGTACATGGAAGTTATTTTTATAACAGAGAATTTTTGACAGCTTAAAGGTATAAAATTCAAAATACAAAGTCAAATTAATTTTTCAGAATTTTCCAGATAAAGCACAAAACTGAATACCTTTCCAGCACAATGTTACTTCTTATACTAACATAGGGCCACTTACAACAATAATATGCACGAATGTTAATAACTAAATAGATTAACTGCAAAAACTATGTAGCCGCCTTGAGTATGTGTCTGTGTTTCGGGGAGGCAGATTTAACCGGTTATCTTATTCTTTTTAGTTTTGTGCTAGAAAGAAACTAAATAGCCTCCATATATATATCTCCAATATATACCCTTGATAAAGGGTAGGGAGTTAGTTGGGCTTCTCCCAACCACTTGCAGCTTCCCAAAAGGACTACTAAATTTCTCACATCATTGCAGGATATTATGTTTGAAAAGATGATATAGTCCAAACTTCCAAATCCTGATACTTAAGTGATGCATCAACATAACATAGCTAATTTGTGTCAAATTCTTTCCTAAGTTTAGATGGTACTCTTTCCTCCATGACCATGATTCCTCTTGCTGCTTTCTGTAACAAAAAACAAAAACTAAACCAGCTATCTACAGGGAAAAAAATTAAAATGAAAATTCACCGTACACCAAAAAGTCTTTCTAAAAATTAAATAGGTTTCTTTTTAAATACATTATCTTGAGTGGGGCGTGTCTGTTTCTGTGGGGTGTGTGTGTGAGTGTGTGTGTGTGTGTGTGCGCGCTATGTATAGTGGGTGGTATCCACAATAAAGAGTGGTATTTTTACTTTTCCTTTACATGAGTATAAGTCTAGGTGGTTATAACCATAGCAGAGCATCCCTCCTGCCTACATTTTACATAGTTTAGCCTTTATTTCTAGCTTCAGAGTGTTCAGAATTGAAAGGATTTGCACGGATTAGAAGAAACCCTTCTCATTCTTTTTTTCCACTTTACCTTAAGCCATACCTACACTCCTTCACTGTCATTTGTTTCACATTATTCTTTTGAATCAGTGACTCAAATATTCTTGGTTCTTATTTTATTAAGGCACTGGGGCCTGCTTAAAGAAGTTAGGGTTCAATTCAGAAAGCATTTATGTAACACCAACTCTACAAAGCCCCAAGCTAGACACTGTAGAACTTGGCACAATAAACAAGGTCTTCCCATGCCTTAACTGGCAGTCTGTGAAGGCTGCATGCAAGGCACCATTACCACAAGAGCAGAGGAGAAATTAATTATTTCTATTAATTCCAGAATAGAAAACGAGGCCAGGCTTCACAGGGATCATAGCATTTAATGGAACCCCAGAAAATAAGCAAATTCCAGTGAGGGGTTGATCTCAGACCATCCATTTCTCATTTAGTTGCTTTTCCAACTACTACTGTACAAAGTATTCTTAGATTTCAAAAGGAGCACAAATACACTCCTAGTACACAAAATCCACAGCACTGAATTTGCACTAGTGGGAAAATAACGTAATTTTGAAGTTCTTGTGGTCTGCTTGTACCCTTCCCTACAAAGAGGGAACC